AAAAAAAAAAAAAAAAACTGGGGAAATAAATCGGAAACAATTATCCTAACGTTACGTGAAAGGGACCTTGTGGCTTAGGATAAAATTTCCAATGACAGTATCATATTCAGATTTAACAGGTAGTGACTCTCAAAAACTGAGCTCTCAAACTATCAATGAGGGGGAGGATGTCAAGAGGAGACACTGATGTTGATGACACATGGAAAATGGAAGGAAAATTGTCTTATAAAACAAGTGTGGAAAAAAGTAATGCTTATATTTTATTGTATATTCTATAATTTTAAATATCCAACCAAACTGATAAATAATATAAGCAAACATTATTTCACTCATATTTCTAAGAGTTTATTTAATCTAATTGGCAAAAAAAAAAATTAGTGGTGTCTTTAATTGGGCAAGTATGGGAACTCCCTTTACATTCAGGCTAACTTTATTTTCAGTCATTTACAGCCCTTAAGAGCAAATGGGGATGGGGGAATAAGGTCATGAAAACACCAGGACTTGCTATGGTGCCATCGTTTCAGCTTTTGGTCTCTGAGTTTCCAACAGCACGAGGTTAGGACAGAGCACCTGGAGATTCACAATGTCTGTGGTCTGTAGGAGCCACTCTGAGGAGGGCCCAAGAAAGAATTTGCCACTATCAGCGAAAAACAAGCAGCGGTTACTAATTATGATGACTTTGTACTTTGGATCTGGATGTGATGCATCTTTCTTTAAAGTAACACACCAACTGCTTAAGAAATAAGGATGTTTCAGTTCATTTAACAGATATGAAGAACGTTTTAACAGGTGCAACCTCTCTGAAAAATGGAACAAACTCTTGAACTCATATAGCATACTAGATATGTTTGTAAATAAACTTAGAACGTAAAAAAAAAAGTGAATGGGAAAAAAAGTAGGGAAAACATTATGGAAGCAGAAATTCAAAAACTACAACTGTCAGTAATGTGCCCAATACAACCGGGTACTCTGATGATCAAGGCGAAAAGAAGATGCCGACACCGTAAGTTCACAATCTAGGAGTATCTATGAATGTAAATCTCATTTAGGGCAGTCATTATAAACCTCCTCTGGAAAGCCTATCTTCTTTCTTAGTCACCTGATACACAGTAAAACTAAGAAATTCGAACTATTTCTTCTCTTTTCCATTTGTCCTGCTCAAATCACTAATATATAGTCAAACTCTCAAAAAACACAGAGAAAAACAGTATAAGACATGAGAAACTTCCAAATAAATAATCAACACATGAATGACAGTCATCAAAACCACATTTATTGTGTGCCTTCTGCGAGATCTACAGGATCTACATCCTGTCACTGAAGATATTAATAAGCGTAACAAAAGGCAATAAAGTACAAGAATTGAGAGAGAAAAATACCATTTAATGGTAGGAAGTACCAGAAAAGGCTTGAAAAAGTGACATCTTAACTGCATACTGAAAGATAGTGTTTTCACAGGCAAAATGGGACTTTAAGGAGGATTCCAGGCAAAAGAAATGAACTGAGCAAAAGGACAAGGTGAAACAGCCCTTGTGTGGAAGTGTTTCAGTAAGGAGTGCCACCCTGTGGGGAACTGTCACTGACAGTGAGACTCGCTGGAAGTCTTCAGGTGCTTCAATACACATTTAATGAGCACAGTGTGCAGGTGCCAGTGACCCAAGGACAAGCAAGACAAACAAGGTATTTGTAACCACAGCTTACAGTTCGGTGGGGCAGCAAACAACATAACAAACAATTTCAGTAGAATGCAGTAAGTACTACAATGAAGGATGGGGCCTGCAGAGAGCACAGCAGGGTTACCAAACATGCCAGTAGCCCAGACAGGCAGGATGGGCAGGCTGCCCAAAGGTGAGAAGAAAATACCAGGTCAAGGGGAGGTGGGGTGTGTGTGATGTTAATGGGAGTGGTGCAGAGTGGGCAGGAGTTCCAGGAACAAGTGCTTTAGGAAGATGAAGTTGATAGTGATATGTTGCACAAATTAGGGGAAGACTGAAGCTAGGAACCGCAATACGCCTCTGCAACTATTCTGACAAGAGGTAGTGAGGGCCGGGCACAGTGGCTCACACCTGTAATCCTAGCACTCTGGGAGGCCGAGGCGGGAGGATCGCTTGAGCTCAGGAGTTCAAGACCAGCTCTGAGCAAGAGCGAGATCCCGTCTCTACTAAAAATAGAAACAATTAGCAAGTCAACTAAAAATAGACATAAAAAAATTAGCCGGACATGGTGGCTCGCGCCTGTAGTCCCAGCTACTTGGGAGGCTGAGGAAGGAGGATCGCTTGAGCCCAGGAGTTTGAGGTTGCTGTGAGCTAGGCTGACGCCACGGGATTCACTCTAGCCCAGCAAAAAAAGAGGTAATGAGAACTTAGGTGAGATGAGGGAAAAAGAAAGGAATGACTCACAATGAGGAAGAAGTTACAGTTGAAAAACAGGTAGGGATGGCAAACACTAGCCTGAGTGGGCCAGCAAAAAGAGTCAAAGTCAACTACAAAGCCCGGGTGCCACTAAATACTACAGAAAATCAGTAGGCAGCATCGGCTGGCATGGGGACAGATAGAGGAAAGCACAGACATGCTGAAATTGGGGCACTGGCAAGACACCCAAGTTAATATGTCAGCCAACATTCTGATATGGGGAAATGAGACTTCGAAGGGCAGACAGAACATATGTGATAGAAGTGGGAAACAAACACACTGACAGAAATTATGGAGACCTGTCAAATGTCTACTTTTAGAGCAGTGGGCAGCTCTGCCCCCAGCAACATTTGGCAATGCCTGAAGGTATTTTCAGTTGTTAGAACTGGGGTGCAGTGGGGGGTGCTACCAGTATCTAGCAGGTAAAGGTCCTGGATGCTACTAAACATCCTATAATGCACAGGGCAGTCCCCAACAACAAAGAATTATCCAGCCCAAAATGTCAGTAAGTATCGAGGTTAAGAAACCCCATTCTAGAGAATCACATGAGAAAGAGCAATTAGAAACATGGAATAAACATTTCCTATATTCTAATACACATTAATTATGTAAAAAAAAGTGTCAAAGGATATACACTATGGTATGTCAACTACCCAGTTAAAAAAAAAATCACATGTGGGAAAACCAAATACAAATGATGCTCATTTCCTGCCCCAAAGAATGTGGCTATAATGGTCCAGAGTGCTCAGCTGGTAAATCAGATACCACTCACTTCTATACAATTTTAACATTAAATTGACTTAAAAAATACTTCATCTGTCTGTGCGCAGAGCGTAAGTACTGTCTGCAGCAATCACACCAACCTCCCATGCTGAATGTCTACAATTCCAGAAAAGCTATTCAGTTAAGTATTAACTTTTCAGTCTACTCTATTCACACAGCAAATAAAAATCACCCATCTATATTCCAAAATACACTGCTGGCTTTAGTAACAAGAGTATCATTTTATTAGATGGACTCACTAAAATATTTAACAAAGTCCAGCAATAGATACTAAAAGCAATTCTTTTCTTGGGTTAGATTTGAACCTGTTGACTGAAAAGGTTACAGTCAAGTGCTCCTCCATCTCACTAATACCAAGAAGTTAGTAGGTCTGGTTTAAATGTAATACATTTTTTTTCCAATTTTTTATTTTTGATTATTATGGGTACATAACAGTTCTGTATCTTTAGAGGGTACATGTGATGTTTTGATACAGGCATACAATGTGAATTAGATACTAAAAGCAATTCTTTTCTTGGGTTAGAT